TGTCTCAGTCAATTATAGATGATGTGAGAGGGCGGGTGTGTGTGTGTTTAGGGCCCGGATGGCTTGGGGATAGAAGCTCCTCTTGAGTCTCTCTGTCCTTGCCCGGAATTTAAATTTAAATTAAATCAAAAGAAAATTATCATCTAAAAAGAAAACTTAGTGCTGAATGTTTCAATAGAATGTAAATACAGTGTCGAGTGCAATACATTTCATTAATTTAATCTCAGCCTGTATTTGATGGTCACTGTTGTATCCATGGAAGATGAGATGAATATGTTTTTAGTCTTCTGTCAGCCGAAGCTTCCTCTTTTTTTTTTTCCAAAAACTAATTTACATGAAATGTTAACGAGAGCAAACATATCTTTTCAGAGTTACTCATTTGTGTTTTCCCTGCTGGCACATCAGCTGTGTTCCTGATTCTGCTCAGATAAAAAGGACTCATGCAAACATGCAAAGGTAGGCTATGCTTTGGCTGTCTTTATGTTAAAGACCTTCATGTCTCTATACTTTTCTTGCATAAAACATTTACTTGGTAATATGAAGAGATATAAATGTAAATGCCTTCCGTGCCTCGTGAATAACAGCTCAGGAGGTAGGGCAGGTCATCTCCTGATTGGAAGGTTGGTGTTTCAACCCCTGACTGCTACAAACTGTAAACCGGTATTTGGTTTACAGGACAAGATACTAACACCAAGTTGCTTTGTGATGAATACTTTGGAGTTTGATTGCTAGATAGAAAGCACTCAAGCATATAAAAAAGGCTTGTATGAATGGGTGCGTGAGACATGTTATGTTAAAGCACTTTGAGTGTACACAGTCTAAAATTTGTTTTTTTTAGGCCATTTCCTGTCTTACTTGAAGGTTCGTTTTCTGTAGTGTCTTGTTGTAGTTGTACTTCTGCACTAATATCACCTCATGTATTTCCACTAAGACTCTAGACCCTATTACTATTTAGAAATTATTTTCTGAGGAATTATCAACAGCAATAACATTGATATTGTAGAGAAAACAGGTCTGCTGATTCCCATATTTATCTTTCTGGGAACAATATGCAAATAATATGTAAATAATGTATAACATCCTGTTGTGCATCACAGATTGTTGACTCACGACAGGCTGTTTGTACATGTTTTTGAATGTGACCATAGAAGAATGCCCCCGAGTTAATTAATTACAATTT